AGGCTCCGAAGAGGAATCACCCGCTTTTGCTCTTGTCTGGAGTAGGAACTAATGCCATTGGATACGATTTATCTCCCGGTGTATGTTGCCTTTCGTTTTTCATTCGTTTTGATTTTGGTTCTGTTTCGTTAAGGTCTACATTCATGCTAAGAACATGAGCTCGTTTGATTTTCTTACGTCTTGACCTTCTTTTTGACCAAAAACTCTCAATTTCAAGAAAGTAATTCGATTACTGTTGACGAAAAACTCACAGTTTCAAGAAAATGCTCCATTCATGCTTTCCTAACACGGTTTGATGTAATTGCAGTCCTCTTTTGCAAGACATATGTCTGGTCAGGGATTTGAGACGTGGATTCTTGAGGTTCGTGGAGCCGGGTTGAGTACACGAGTGTCCGATCTCAAGGATGTTGAGGAATCTGCTCACGAATTGTCCCATCAGATAGAATCTACTGCTAAAGCTGCAGCTAAAGAAGGTTGTTCCGACGAAAAGCAGGATACTGATATCGTGGAAAGTGCACCTTCTTCGGATGTTTCTATTGTTGGCGAAGCCTCGGCTTGGGACGAATCAAAGCTTGTGGCGAGATTAACAGCAACTTTTATGCGTTTGTCAGAAAGACTCTCTGGCTTTCTCAGTGAAGGTCAGTCAGTGTTCATGTCTGCTAAGTTATTTGACAAAATTGCAATGCTTTTAGAAGATACACAGCTGTACGAGCGCTTTAATGAGATAAGATCAAAGGTTTTGAGTTTGATCGAGTCAAGGCAAAACTCAGGACTTGGTAACCAAATCAGAGAATTAACTCAACGCCTTGTGGATCTCTTCGACGATGGCCAAAGGTCTGTCTCCCCTCAGTTGATTGATTTACAAGAGCGCCTCACTTCGACCATAGAGGATTTTCAGAAGCAACTGGATTTGATCATTAAATATGACTGGGATTTCGATCACTACTTGGAAGAGGATGTCCCTGCTGCGGTGAGGCGAGATTGATCTTACTAAATATTTCATGCAACTGTGTCCGGATTTGTTTCTGAACTGGGTGTCTGTTTTTGGTTTGCTCTAGATTGAGTATGTAAGAGCGCAAAGCAAGCCAAAGGACGGTAAACTATTTGCAATTGGGCATTCCATGGGGGGTATCCTACTCTATGCAATGCTGTCACGTTGTGGTATGTTAATGTTCATCTTGATATTGGGTTTTCATCAGATTTCATTTTCCTGAAAACAGAGGCTCATATGTTTAGGCCATTATTCATTTCTTCTATTCCATTTCACTAGCTTCTGAGGGACGAGAACCTTGCCTGGCAGCTGTGGCAACTTTGGCTTCATCAGTTGATTACACAACTTCAGATTCTGCCCTCAAAATGCTCATACCTCTTGTACGTAAATTTGGGTTTTATCACGCTGCGTTGGATTCTTCTGTAAGAATTGATGTTACTTAAAACTTCTTCTACAGGCCGATCCTGCACAAGCTCTGAGTGTTCCAGTTGTTCCATTGGGTGCTCTGTTGGCTGCAGCTTTTCCTCTTTCAACACGCCCTCCATATGTATTATCTTGGCTTAACGATTTGATATCAGCAGCGGATATGATGCACCCTGAACTGTTAGAAAAGCTTGTGTTGAATAACTTCTGTAAGTACTATTATTTGATCCCATCTAAGTATGTGAGTTTTTAGTGGTACATTTCGAAATGTGGTTTAAGTTGAAATGAAACGTATCCACCTTAAGAAAATGGAAAATGTTGAAGAATTACTATTAGATGCCTTGATGTATTGCCATAAAATGATTATGCAAGTGATAGTTGCTTCCTCTATTTCTTGCTTCTTTTTGTGTGGTTTTAATAAAGGGGTTCTCTGTTTTGCAACCTTTAGGTACCATACCTGCAAAACTTCTTATTCAGCTGACAACGGCCTTTCGTGAGGGAGGCTTACGTGATCGTAGTGGTGAATTTTGCTACAAGGATCATCTTTCCAAAACCACTGTCCCTGTCTTAGCTCTTGCAGGTGATCGGGACTTGATCTGCCCTCCTGTGGCTGTAGAAGGTATACTAAACAGATGGTTGAGCATAGATGAACAGCTACACATATCGTAAAACAATTCATAAGCCCAGATATGCATTTCATTTTAGATTCTACGATGCTGTTACTACATTGCTTGAGTTATGAGAGGCTGTAATACATGGGTTAGCTTTCACGATACTTTCCAATCATACCAGATGAAATCTTAAGCTACTTAATACATAGTTGATTAAGATGCACTTAGACACATTTTGATTTTCACCATTACAATTGCTTGTGAATATGACAGACACTGTTAAGCTGTTTCCTGAGAACCTGGTCACTTATAAGCTACTTGGAGAACCAGATGGACCACATTATGCACATTATGATTTGGTTGGAGGACGACTGGTATGTTGCAGTTTTAGGTCTCCCATGCTGGAACTTTGTTCATTGCCATATTATGTGCGCGCTTGTTTTCTGACTCAGTCGTTTCTCTGATAATATCACTGCAGGCAGTGGAGCAAGTCTATCCTTGCATAACTGAATTTCTTAGCCACCATGATGATTCCGCATAAGTGAAACTTTCTGGGCTTTTTTGTTCCTGGCTTGCTATATGCGCATAGACGATATCCAGTTTATACCTAAGAAGTGTGTACCAGAAACTCCTGTTAATAAGGATGCCATTATCGTTTAAGACTTGTACATTTAGTATCCAGGCAAAATGTACATTAGCGTAGGAGGCAATTTTTTAAAGTCATACGCGGGTGAATTAGGAAAAGCATAATGAGATGCTGGAAGCTCATGTCTACTGTGCCTTCTTTTGTTATGGCGATGAGCCGTTTATTTGAACAGTTTTCTTTTGAAGAATGAGTGTGTTTCCTTCCTTGTAACGCTTCTTTTGGAGGGATTAAGTTACCCATGAGAGAAATTGTACAGACATGATTCATGTGTATATTTTCTGTCTTGGATCCAGCAATCACACAGCCCTACTTCTCAGTAAGGTGTGGAAGACATGATGTAATGATAAAACTGAATTGTCTAGTATTTAACAACAGAGCTGTCTCTTGAAAGATACTGTCTTTCTACCATCATGTAAGACCATACTGAGTTCTTTTCTTTCTCTATCCACACTTTAATTCGTTGGATTCTCTATCTTGCAAAGTCATTGATCACAGTTTTAGCTATTTCTTCTGTAACATGTTTGATGTTGAGCGGTTTCAGGTTTTGATCGAGTTGGTGACACTCAGATACATTAAGACAGTTCACTAGATGGAGATTTGTCTGCTGTGATTATTTTTTGGTCTTTTTGTTGTTTGTCCAATCCCACTAAGTACAATCCTGACTTGGTTCACACTGATGATTTCAGGTTTTTGTGCTAGGTGGCCAGAAATATTGCAGCAATGTATGGGTTTAATCTGGACTTGTGTTGACCTACCCATCCCTTGTACTTAGTGAGATTGGATAAACAACAAAAAGACCACAAACTGATCCTTGCGTGATTGGTAATGGGTTCTTGTCTTTTGTCTCTTCACTGTCTGCAATTATTTCTCTTCAATTCTACTGACCCTCTCAGCCATAGATGCTTGCTATAAATCCATATCATTCTTCTCCCACCATTTTATTCCATTTTTCTTTTTCTTTTTTCTGTTCCGTACTGAATATTCATTTGTTACTGAAAGCAACAATGGACTCAGACCCACCTGGTGTTTTCCCAAGTTCGTTCAAGTATCATCCATATTACTCTCAGACAATGGAATGTGGTGGCCTAATCGATTTAGGTCTCAGCCTTGGTAACATACAACATGAGAGTTACCACGCATCTGGCCAAAGTGAGCTTCTTTGCTTCTTCCTTCAGCATTTCCATTTCCTTACAGCTCACATATATTAATAGTGATAAGTCAGCTTTTTTTCGCAAAATGAATAACATGTTTCCTTAGTAGAATTTATCGACTCTGAAACGATGTGTGCTGTTTACTATTACATGTATGATCATTTTTCCTCAAACTCTAGTTCATTCGATGCATGTATCATATTAGTTCCTCCCCCAGTGGGCAAGAGTGTTTGTGCTTCATCATTATGTACAGCAAGCAACATCCTAGTTTTTTTAATTATCTTTATTTATACGTGAATCAAAGTGATAGGTCTGGGCGGGTACGGAGAAGTTACAGATGGGTCGCAGTCCAGTTGTAGCAATTTTCTGCTGAGTCACGAAACTGGAAATGGAAAATGTGGTAAAGAAGAATATTGGAGTAATGAAGGATGCAGACGTAAGTGGGGTTATGTAAAGGTGACCATGGATGGATTTGTGATAGGTCACAAGGTCTGTGTTCTTGATCATGGAGGCTATTCAACTCTTGCTCATCAACTAGAGGACATGTTTGGTAAGGTTTTGATGAAAAGCTTTTATCCTGTGTTTCCCCCATACTTAGTGGCAGTTTCATTCGTTGCACACGAAGTACTTTTAGATATTTCTTCTCCTCTTGTGATTCAAAGATGAGTAACTTGTATTGAGCCTAATAGGCTTATACCAGATGATCGTTGATAATTTCCGTTAAAATCTGTAGGGATGCAGAGTGTGTCGGGATTGAGGTTGTTCGAGACAGAGTCAGAGTTCTCTTTGGTTTACAGAGACAAAGAAGGGACATGGAGGAATGCTGGAGATGTTCCATGGAAGTAAGCTCTTTAGACTTTATATAAAGAAACTTGTAAATTACTGAGATAAAGCG